TAACTGTTCATCAAGTATTCTCTAAAGTAGCATCCACACCAGTGAAGAACATTTTTTTTTGTCAGGTTAAGAATATTTTGAAAAGATGGGCCTAATAATATATAGGTTTCCATAGAATATAATAATAAAGCAGCATATCATTTTTAACCTTTAAAACAAAGATTTACAAAATAATCCAAGATATAACAAAGTATCCTGTCAGTCAGGATATATAAATGTTTCCGTCAATGGAAGATTTCTTTACCATGGCAACTAATAATCAGAGATTGCGTTGACATTTTCATGTAGCAAGTTTTGATGAGAATATGAAGAGCAATTGGCGATATAGTTTGTGTATCTTTAGGCCAAATAAAAAAAAGTGGTGGTTTTACAACATGCTTTTCAAAAATAGAGTAGAGATTTTTATTTTTTATTTTGCTATATATTTTTTCTTGGTTATAACTGTGTTAATTTTTGTTCTTGCATATAGGGATTGTTTTGTAAACACGACACGAGTGTCATAATTCATGTTAATAAAGTTAACATTACCCAGTCACTGGCATAGCATAATTGTTTCACAAATTATTCAGAATAATCAGAAATATGACAATGACAATTTAAAACCATAATTTTTCTCAAAAACTGATTTCGGATAAATTGGTATTGCTTCTTTTAAGAATTGTATTCAGACAAATTTATAGTATATGGCCTAACGTCTCTGATTGGAAAAATAGACTATATTGAAACTTGAACATGCATACACCTAGTCATTTCAACTTGCTGGTCACCTTAAATGGCAAATCATCGGAATAACATTGCAATGGTGTGTTTGGCCACAAGCCCACTATTCCACAATCTTCTGCATTCAAAAGTACATGGCATCATCGGTCTCATGATATTAAAAAAAAAGTGCTCACTTGAAATTTACATTTATAACTGCATGTTGAAAATAGAAAAACTCCTTAAAACTTCGCAGAAGTCATCCAATTTTCATGTTATTCAACATTTCTGTTCTTATCTTGAGATTTTGAAAACTAACAATGCTATGTAGTGCCAGGGATTTTTGCAAACAAGGAAACGGGGGTACAGCGCCCTCATGTCATGGCCATGCCCCCCTTTACCCTGGGGAGATCCTCTGGCAACCATAAAATTCTGATAGACCAGGGATCACATGTGGCCACAGTCTTCAACAGTGACCTGTCTGATAGTAATTTTGGCCCCAAGGAAGCCATAAAATGCTCCAATTTTAACTTAGAATTATCAAAAATCCTACACCCTGGTAGGGAGAACCCTATCTCCCACACTTGGTGGCACCTCTGAATTGCAGTGCTCCCTTTTGCATATTTTTATAGAAAAAAACCTGTAGTGTCGATCTTTATTTAGGTTTTCACAATACGAATCAGAAGTCATACATGTAGGAGTGAAAGCCAGTGTATACAAAATACAAAACAAAAGACTAAACTACGAATAAAATCAGTTCACGCTCCTTTTCTTTTTACCTACAAATAGAGTGACTCCCCAGAATACCTCAATGGATAAACTAAAGCATAAACCCCAGATAAGAAATGTACATGTATTACATACCACAACTGAAGACATGCTAGTACATATATCCATCGAAAATTGCACAACCTACTGAATAATAATAACGAGACATCTAGATGTAGTTATTATAAACACAGGAAACCAACTTATGCAAATCACCTTCGCAACGTTACCATTTTCCACTGATTGGAAAAAAAGATGTCGTCTTTTTTTCTTGTCCCAATCTTTATTATTTGCCGGTCGTTTTCGGTCGCCAAATAACCAGTCGAAGCAAACAGAAACCATAGTACCCGGGATAGAGCGGAATAAACCATAAACTAATATAATTATCAGCAAATAACAAGGCTTTACCAAATGTCTCAACCAAAATTAGGCACGGTGCCAGTGGCTAATTTATTGATAAATCGAAGAACAATCATGGAAATGTTGATGTAGCCTGTGCCGGCAAAATGACACAAGACTGCGTATACATGATCATGTGACCCGGGCGATGATCAAATCGTCTACGGAAATGTCAATCCTCACGTATTAACATAATGGATGCATGTCAGTGTCCAGAAAAAAGTTTTTAAATAAAATGACACGCAGTTCATTCAAAACAAAAGATATGACCGACGCCGCACATTGCGGCAACTCTACATCGTGGCCAACGCTGGCAAACTTCTCAAGAAAACAACACAGGTTTTAGCCGGATCAAAGCGATTAGGGAACAACACAAATACTATCACTCTCAGCCTAAAACTGAAATTCCGTAATTAAACGAGAAAGCATTAACTACTGAAAATTAGAGATTGTCTGAACAGAGAATGACTTACTTCCATGTTTTCCGCCATCTTGAAAATTAAATCTGCACATGGTAGTGACGTCACGAGGCAAATTGTATCCAAACACTGGTGGCGCACTTCAAATTGGGAGTGAGATCTGTATCTGAGATCTGTTATTTGGGAATACTGCCGTTCGTGTGTTACAATCCGTAGTAAAAACAATAAAACGAGCTCCGAATAACATGTCTGATTGTGACTTAATATTGCTAGCATGTTCATGTTTTTTACTACTTTTTCATATTCGATATTTAACCAATGCTGGTGTTTAGTTCAATTTTGATTTAATAAAAGCAAATATAAGATGTCTTCCGGTAGTGAATATGTTTATGGTACTTTCCAATAACAAATGACGGCCAAACGTGTTCGTTGCAGAGTATATACGTTATTCGAGATTCGGAGAGTTTCATTAGATTGTTATCATTTGTACGGGCCCAAACGTGTTTAGCTATTTCTAAGTAATAAGTTCCCCAATATATCGTGCGCCAAGTTAAGGAACTTGTAAGAATATTTGCTTTATCCGTCAATGAAATGGCGGAGCAGGTGTATTGAATTTTAATGAAACTACTTACAAATATAATCCAATCTATCACGATCAATGCATTGGTGCACACGTTCAACGTTGTTACAAGTGCCAAGTCTGCAACTCAACGAAATCCCTCTACCTTGAAAACCCCAATGTTATGGAAAATGTGACCAACATTTTAGAGGGGGGCAAGGGTTAATTTCGTTCAACGTAATTGCAATATTTTTTTGTTCGTACAACGTGAATTAAAAAAATAAATTCCGTAATTCTGTAATCACAGGCTAGAGGTACAACGTAATCAATCAAATATTTTTTTCGTACACTGGCACTGTAAAAATGTGTCATTTTTTTCGGTACGTACAAGAATTTACATCCAAATAAAAAAATCGTAAAGAATAATCCAGGAAATTACATTTTAGAAACTGTAAAACGACTAGATGACACAATTCACTGCAAAATTGAATGTCAAGACGTAAAAGGCCCTCTAACTGAATGAAGAGCATTACGAGGGTAATATGCGCATGCTCTTCGGACCATTCAATGTTCCATTTTTAACATTGTAAACTGTAAAAACGTCTTTTTTTCCGTGTAAATTGTAAAAAGCCATTTTCATTCCCCGTAAAACTGTACCAGCTACCCCCTTGCCCTCCTTCATTTTAGGACTACCTAGTATAAATTATGCTGTTTTTCATTGATTATATTGCTTATGTACAATTACATGAGACTTGTCAATTTGTGGCAAACCTACTAGAACTATAGAAGCTTTGCCGTGAGTTGTTAAAGCATGGTGGTCGTCGCGCAGCACGTGTTCGAATTTCATGTAAACAAACAATGTATTTTACGCGCGTTGTATACATCGCTATGAGTCCCATATCGAACAGGACGCGGCACGACGACTGCCACCCTTCAACTTTAACTTAAGCCCGTGTGGTTTCAGGCAGCAAGCGTTAAGAACACTTCCGAAGATGAAAGGGACCATAACATTCAGTGACTGCGTAATGTTGCACGGTTTAATAAACAAATTTACATGGATATTCGAAAATATAACCTAAATATCATAATAAATTTGTATGCAATCGTAAAAATATTACTTAAATACACGCTTGATCGTCATTTGGGAATGACATACGCGTACAGAAAAGTTCCACGAATTCTGAACTACGGTTATGGTCAAAAGAAGAAAAATTGTACATCATTAAAATACAAATAACTCTATCTAGAATACGCTTGGCCTTCATTCGCCAATGTAGAATCAAATAAATAAATAAATAAATAAATAAATAAATAAATAAATAAATAAATAAATAAATAAATAAATAAATAAATAAATAAATAAATAAATAAATAAATACGGTTATGAAAATAAACACTGAATATGCCATTGAATATTCGAATATAGACCAAAATAACGTTTTGAGTATATTAAGTTGTTTG